GGGCCCGGGCTGGGGATTCGAACCCACCACCTTAGGTGTATGTGGCTGGCGCCTTAGCTGCTTGAGCCACAGGCGCCGAGCCTGTTTTGACACTTCTAAGAGCTCAGAAAATCAAAAAGCACAAGGAAGCAAGTTTTCAAAGAAATACTTGCAAAATACTGTGGCTGCTTATCCACAGAACCTTCCTCAATCCGTGGTGTCACTGGCCATTTTTCTAGTAGTCTTCAAATTGGGTATAAGGCAGTTCACTGGGGTATGGGAAGATCTTAAAACTTCTATGTGGGTGGCAGGAAAATGTGAGCATTCTATTTGTATTAATTTTTATCATGCTCTTCTAAATTCTATATAAGTGTATAGTTTCAAAGCTGTACCTGTTATGCCAGTGTATACACATATAATTCACAAATAAAAACAATTCATTGGGGTGTGTGGTCAAAGCTTTCACTGACAGGTGTGTGATCAAATAAGATAAATATAACTATCTAGTCTTTTGCTGATATTGAAGCCATTTGGTTTTAAAAAAAGAAGTCCTATTAATTAGCATAGTATCACACTGACCTTTCTACCATTATTCTCAATGACCATAATATATATAAATAAATCCATATAAATCAAAAGGCAACGTTTGCATTGGAGTTCAAAATGATAATTGTGCTCTATAATAATTGTCAATGTATATGAACTGTACTCTGTCAGCACTTAGAAATATTTTGAAAAATTACTTCCAGTATTATTGACTCTCCTGCTTCTTTAGATAATGAAATTCTTTTGTAAGTCTGTTCATTACTAATACATTGGGAATTTGTCTTTATTTTTGTGAATTGCATGATATTATATAACCATCATAAGAGGTAGGATGCAGTTCTAACTGCACCAGGGTCTAATAGGTTCCATGCTGTATCTATTCTATAGGAAATTTTTTTTTGAGACAAAGTCTCACTCTCTTGTCCCAGGCTAGAGTGCTGTGGTGTGTGCCTAGCTCAAAGCAACCTCCAACTCCTGGGTTTAGGGAATCCTCCTGCCTCAGCTTCCCAAGTATCTGAGAAAACAGCCACCTGCTACAACGCCTGGCTCATTCTTTTTATTGTTAGTAGAGACAGGCTCTCACTCTTGCTCAGACTGGTCTCAAACTCCTGAACTCAAGAGATCCTCTTGCCTCAGCCTCCCAGCGTGCTAGGATTACAGGCGTGAGCCACACGCCTGGTCTTTCTGAATCTACATGTACATGGCTTGAGAGGCAGTGGCAGAGTGGTTAAGAGGGTTGGTGTGAGAAACAAATGAACTTCTGTATCTAAAGGGCCTTGGACCTGTGCCTACCACACAGGAGCATGTGAAGGGTAGCCGTGACTATTATTATTACTGTAATGGTCCCCGCCACTGACAGTGTTACTGCCGTGCAATCTATGTGCATGCAGGTGTTCTGAATGCCTTCTGTGTTCTTTCACTCATACATGAATGATATATTTCCTATATTTTTATCTGCTAATTCTAGTGTTAAATTGTTTGCTAATGACAACGTAAATGCTTCAAAAAAGTCAAACAATTTTTAGGAGTGGAATGAGGGAAAGAATAATTCTCTTGAGGGAGGCCAATAGAGGAGAGAATACTAATAGGAGAATGTATCGTTTACTGAGATTTCCGAGGGTCATTTCTATTGTAGGACAGTGGGAAGGATGGGCACAGAATAATACCACATAAGGTACAGCTATGCCAATCAAAACTTTTAAGCAGCTAACAATTAAGCATGTCATATGCTTAAATGTATAACAGGACTTAGAAAAAGGTTACGTTATTGTTAAAAGGAGAAAAGCTTATAAAAACTCATGTTTACACTGAGGCCTCTGGAAGGAAGTGGCTGAGATGATGCTTAATCAATTAAGAAGAAGGGGAAATATCTTAGAGGTTATTGCAGAGCCGGGTTTGGTGGCTCATACCTATAATCTCACTACTTCTGGGAGCTGATGCAGAGGATCCCCTGAGCTCAGGAGTTCCAGACCAACCTGAGCAAAAATGAGACCCTGTCCTTACTAAAAATGGAAAATTATCTGGGCATGGTGGTAGGCACCTGTAGTCTCAGGTACTCAGGAGGCTGAGGCAAGAGGATCACTAGAGACCAAGAGTTTGAGGTTGCTGTGAGCTATGACACCACGACACTCTCCCCAGTCTCTCTACACAGAAAGACTCTGTCTCAGAAAAAGAAAAAAGAAGAAGTTGTAACAGAGTCAAGGGCAGGCACAGCATCTGCAGGGTGCCATGGTCATGACCAGGGGTCCTCAAAATTTTTAAACAGGGGGCCAGTTCGCTGTCCCTCAGACCATTGGAGGGCCGGACTGTGGGTCCCAGGATGAGTCGGCTACTAAGCAGGACAGGCAGCGGTGGCAAAAACACCCGGAGGGGCAGATAAATGTCCTAGGTGGTCTGCATGTGGCCCGCAGGCCATAGTTTGAGGACGCCTGGTCTTGACTATATAACCCTGCCTTTTGACTGCTCGTACCTCATGCAGAAGACTTCAATGGATATAACTTAGTTTTTGTACTCTGAGGGCTATTTGCAGGAAATTTGAAATTGCAAGAGGTTTCTCTGGCACCCCAAATATTTCAGGTTGTTTCTTCTTCTTGCTATAACATTTTACATGTAGAAAAAAAATAAATTAAATGTTGCTAGCAGTTGAAGAAAAACATAACTAGTGAACATGCAAAACTAACCACTGCTTTGTCTTCCATATCTCATGTGGCATGGCCAAGCCAAATATGACCTGGCCAGGTACTCTCCTGTGGCTAAATGAGAGCTTTCTGCAGAGGCTTCTCCACTGCACGTTCAGAAAGGTTGCTCCCGCAGAATGAGGAAACAATTAGTAACACGAACATTGATATAACTGAAGGGAACTTTTGAGATTCTTTTTTTGGAAATATCTGAATCCACAGTGCTACAGAGATCAAAGACTCTACTTCGCATGCTTTAGAACAGAGTAGGGAATTTGGCATTATTCTCAAACCTACCACAATGATCACAACATCCAGACAATTCCAGAAACTCCTGAAATAGTGCAGTTTGTGAATGCGAATTTCCAAAATCTCTTCCACCACATAGTAAAGGATAAAGAAACAAAAGATAATCTCACAGGCTGCCAGGAAGAAATCAAAAGCTGTGACATAGTGGATCAGCTTTACGGGCTGAAATTGCCAAGATGGAATCACGCCGCCTGTTGCTGGGAATTCAACCAATAACCTGTGTTGCAAGAAGAATAATTAAAACAATAACAACAACAACAACAACAACAACACATGGTATAGCCAGGGACATCTACTCTGTCCCTGTACTGGAATGTAATAAAACTGCTATCCTGGGTTACCCTAAACTAGTAGCAAAATATTTTTATCAAAGCTAATGACTCCATACTGGTCAAATTTGTGCTAAAAAAGGAATAGGCCTTTCCAAGGTCTTCCTTTCATCCTCAAAGGGTTACTGCCATCTGTTTTCCCTTTACTTTTCTGGTATTTATACTGCTCAAAATGCTGTATCATTTTTTAAAATGTTAATCAACCAACAAACTTTTGTAGGACTTCTGTTAAATGCAAGTCCGTCTACTGGGCATCATGAATAACTTAAAGAAATGAAAGCCACGCGTTCAAAAGATGTGTCATCTGATTGAGAAGCAGGACATATATTCTGTACATTATAAAGGTAGGAACCAAGTCTCTCGTTCATTCATTAGGTAACATCTCATTGGCAATGAATAGTTTCCCCTCCTTATTCTTTCTGTTCCCCTCCCAGAGCCTTAAAGTTGACAGGTGGGTCCTTGATATGTGTGTACGTGTGATCATCTGAGCCTGTGATGTGTACTGTTTTATATTTGCACCGATGGTCCTGACTGTTAATGCTCTACCATCATTAACATGAGGCCTTTTTTGCTGTCAAATCCCCATTTTGTAGGTGTTACACTGAGAAAGTTGAATGACTTCACTTAATGGTACAGTCTTCCTATCTAACTGAAGTTGAATCTGTAGCTCCTCAATTGGAAGCCTTTTCTAGGTGCTGTACTCAGCTCCTAGCCGTGACCTTCCCTCCCACTGAGAGGTGGGTAGCCTCCCCTAGGACCTCAGCACCCAGGCCCCATACACGTGCGATAACCCAGCTCAGGCGGGGACTATGGCAAACTGGATCTGGTCAAAGAGGTGGGAACATTTTTCCTTCCTCCTCATTGTCAGTTCTCCTGTTCTTTTTTTCCTATTTGACGTGCTGGACAGTAGGGTCAGAACCAAAAGCTCAGGAGAGCAACACTGAACCCAAGAGGCGCCTGCCTGACAGCTTCAGTGGGAGCTCGAGAGAGAAGGAAGTGGTCCCTGTGTGCCGTCACCTCTCTCCAGCTTGCTCTGGCCCTTTGTTTGTCATCCACTGCCAGAAACTCAGAGCACAGTGTAGAGAAATGAAGTAACTGTACTGGCCACATTCATTCTTGAAGCATGAGGAGGAAGTGAAAGAAAAAGTTAAGTCTTACACAAGACTTCCTGTAAATAGTTGTGTACTTGTCAGCCACTGTGGCCTGCCTGTTTTTATCCCACTCTTTTTATCCTCAATAGAATCACTGGGAAAAACTCAATAATAATTGCAATAAATTTTCATCCATTTCTAGAATGAAACTATGACAGGTTGAGTATCCCTAGTCTGAAAAGCTCCAAAATCCAAAACTTTTTTTTCTTAAATACAGTTTCACTCTGTTGCCTCAGGCTACAGTATAGTAGTGACATCATAGCTCAGAGAAAACTCAACTCCTGGGTTCAAATGATCCTCCTGCCACAGCCTCCCAAGTAGCGAGGATTACAGGTGCCCACCATGACAGCTGGCTAATTTCTCCTTCCTTCTTTCTTCCTTCCCTTTTCTTTTTTTTTTTTTTTTTTAGTACATAAGGGGTCTTGCTTTTCTGCAGGCTGGTCTTGAACTCCTGACCTCAAGTGATCCTCCTGCCTCGGTCTTCCAGAGTGTTAGGATTACAGGCGTGAAAGCATTATCCCCAGTCCCCAAACTTTTTCAGGACTGACAGGACACCACAAGTGAAAAATTCTGACCTCACATGATGGGTCACAGTCAAAATGCAGGTGCACAACATTTGGTGTCCCCAAGGGAAAAAAAATTACCTTTGAGCTGTGAATATAAGGGGCACATGAAACATAAATGAATTTCATGCTTAGACTTGGGCCCCATCCCCAGGATCTCTCTCTCTCTGTCTCTGTCTCTCTTTCTCCCTCTCTCTCTATATATACAAGCATTCCAAAATCTGAAAAACCTGAAATCTCAAACACTTCTGGTTCTAAGCCCCTTGAATAAAGGATACTCAACCTGTAATTGAGAATGTGGTATTACTTTCTGCAAGTTGTTAAATACAAGGACTGGGAAAATCCAACTGGCTATGCAAAACAAAGGTGAGTTTAATCTCAAGAATAGTAACAAAGTAAGCTTTGTGTGCAAATATACGTGTAGGTAATCCATACTTGCGATGTTTGGGTGTTGCTGATTAAAATGGGTAAACTCTGGATCCTCCTTGCCCTGCTCTTTTTCTTTCTTTATAAAAATTTGTTTAATAGTACTTGTTGCCTTCCACATGCTATGTAATTTATATCTTTTATTATTTATTATCTCTTATTTATCTCCTTCTGGCTGGACGCAGCTCTGCAAGGGCAGGAATCTTTGTTTTGTTCACTGATGTGTGATTTTAGAATAAAGTCTAATTGATATTAAGTGTCCAAGTAAATGTTTGCTGAATGAATGAACAAGAGGCCCAGACAAGCTTGATGGAAGACAAGCTAATCCTTCCATCAGTTTCCTTATCATCTGCCAAGGTAGTCAGGACAGAGACATCACAGCATCTGTGGGGCCTTCTCTGTCTCTGGTAGCCCTGAGCAGGTAACTGAGTTCCCTTCTGCACATGAGGCAGCCTACTGAGCTGGTGTTTTAACAGTATGGATGTCACCTGAGAGCAGGAGATCCAGGGAAATAAGGCAAGAGGTCAGGCCAGGGTACTTTGTGACAAAGCATGTAGCACTAATCATCCTTACAGCAGGGGTGAGGACGGATGTTAGAAAACCAGTGCTTCTTCTGGAAAGGCTCCAGCATTAGGACAAACTGGAACTGGACTTAAGGTTCTTTCCAACTTGTAATATTCTATCTCAGATCCTAACTCTGTTCCCCAGACATCCTTATCCTAATGAGGCTTTAGTATTTACTCCCCTGCTATCAGTCTGGTCCTTGGCACCCTCATTTTAGCCAACTGCAGGCAAAGGCATTCTGCCCTATTTCCAGAATAGAAGGTAGATAAAACTCCACAGAAACAGGGGGGATGCGTGGCCCCAGTACACACCTGACCACACAGAACAGGTTAATGTTGGCGTTGTATACCGAAAAGTCAATAAAAGTTGCCCTGGTTCCTCGGTCCAACCAGACATTTTTCTTGAGGCTAGCGATCTGGGCAGCTGTTTCCTCTCTCGTTCTTGACAAATCCAGGTAATAGCCAGCTCCACTATAAGTGCCGATTATTCCCCAGTGGCTGCTCCCATTCAAGTCTTTTTCACTCGTGTAAATCCAACTAATTAAAAAAAACAAAAGCAAAAATCAATCAGGTAAAATCAAGAGTACACTTGTGGCAGTTACCCAGGTAAGATAAAGTAGGTAATATATCTTATCATATTGGATAATGTCATAATTCTCATACAGTAGCCCCATTTTAGGAACAAGGGCCCTGAGGCTTTGTGAGGTCAACTTAGTCCTAAAACTCTTTTTTTGTTTTTTTTTTTTTTTGAGACAGTTTCTTGCTATGTTGCCTAGGCTGGACTTGAAGTTGAGTTTCATCCACCTCAGTCTCCTGAGTGGCTGGGACTATAGGTGCATTCACCACTGTGCCTGGCTTAG